CACGTGTACTTGTAAACCTGCCATCGGCGGGTACCACAGAGCGGTACGGACAGACCGACTCACACGCGTCAGTCACCTGCTGCGAGAGACTGTGTGTGCGCCAAACACATACTCCTGCTGTCAGGGCCTACCTACGGCCAGGTCCTTGCCAAGCTGCTGGACAGACTCTCCGACCAGCGAACTGTGTGGGACGTCTGCATTCCCTTCGCCGGGAGAGGAGCAGCTCTGAGGTCCACGCATGCCGCAGCCACCCAGCAGCAGGTATTCGGCAACACCGTATGCCCATGGACGTGTAGTGCGACAAAGTTCACGACGTCACCTTTACGGTGATAATAAATAGACGTAACAACGAACATCCATTTTATACCATTCATTCAATTTCATTTCTGTAAATTAACATTTCATTGGTCATACCATCCCATTCACGTAGACTAGAAATCCATTATCAATAAATCGTATGTGCAATGAAATTCGTGTAAATTTGTCATCCTCACCCTTCTTAACCAGCGCCATTCCTCTCCCCCCCCCGGCACCTCACGGCCCGGTGAGGTGTAAAAATACTTTGTATAGAGAAGGGCCTTTCAGTCTGCTAGCGCCCCCCTCCCCGTTCCAGGTATTCTTCCCCCTTCTCTGTACACATCTTGATGATTGTTATTTTTGTATTTGCAAAGTAAAAGGACTTAACACAAAGAACAATCAAGGAATAATTTATCCTGATATAAAGTCTGCTAGAAGACCTGCGAAACATGGCACTGACATTCTGATTCAAGTTCAACGCCAGAGGAATCAGCTGAAGAATATGGTTGGTTAAGCACACAAGACAAACCCATACCTTTAAAACAAAATTAGCAGAATGATTTGATCTGAGATTAAAATCTCTCATAGGATGCTTTTGAAACAAAACCATCTTCTAGTTTCAGGAACGTACGCTACGGTTTACAGACATCAAGGAAATGTTTTTTAATTAGGAAGACTTCTTAGTATATTGCACTCGTATTCCAAAGCTCATCAATATTTTAGGGTGCAGAGTATAAAACAGATGAAAGGAGACTTCATAAATTGTAGCAAGACAAGTTTGAAAAATATGTTGTGACACAATGGTAACACTTTAACATCAGTCACAGTCCCACACTCTGACACAATTAACCCTTATCCGGGCAACCGGGGTCCATTGGACTATCAGAGGTATTACGATAGTTTTTTGTGACTTTGTTGGCAATATTGTTTTCTAAATGTGCCCGCATCCATTTTGCAAAAGCATTACTGAATAATAAATAAAAAAATATTTATATTTTTTTAGACGCAACCGGGCAAGCGGGGTCGAATAGATCCAGGTGTCTTAATCTACTGAGCTCACCAAAGACCTGATGACAACCAGTAATAACCACATGACTGCAAAATGCACCAAGACTGAATTACTTATTCAACCCATGACTGTGGCTGCCCACGCTAAAATTCGAGCCATACTAATAAACTGCAACTGACCCGCAACTTGAATGACTCTTCGTGACAATTTCCTACCACTTCAACAGAGCTACCGAATAAGCCAGAGACAAATTTGTGCTAAAAGGACTCCCCCCAAGATACTGCATCGACTCAATCAGACAGAACTTAAAAAGACTGAACATCACCTACCATCTCATCACCGAAATGCAACGACGGGACATTGACGACTCTAGGCATTTACAATGTGGAGATTAACAAGAACGAAATGACTGTCATCAAGGCAAAACTGATTTGCATCAACTACTACAGAATTAGAGTAGATAACTATAGGACAACAGACAGAATCCCACAGTGCAAAAACTGCCAGAGACTGTACCATACTAAAGCTTACTGCCAACGGACCCCGACCTGCACCCAAGCCAATCCCACAGAAAACTGCCCTTCCCACACAACCTCTGACCGCTCCTTCACACTCAAATGTATCAACTGCTCCCAGCCTAACCTCGCATACGACCATCATCCCCAGCCATAGTTAAGGCGAAAACCCTTTGCCAGCAATCTTTAAAACCCACCTCGACCACTACACAGAACAATACTTCCCATCCCTACCAAAACAACGCCTATGCCACAGCCACTAACCCATCCCAACCAAACACAGGAACCCAACCCTCACAATCCACTGCCCAAGACCTCAAAGACCTATTTTCCCTCCTCCAAAACCCATATGTCAAGATCCTATCCCATATCAAACCACTCCTAGAAATACCCTAAGGCCCAGACGACATCGTAATCAAACTAATCGCCGCTGGCCTAAAAATCATTGAAATCCTTAACTAAATGGCCCCTTCCCCCCGAATCCTCATCCTGTCCTCATGGAACTCAAAGAGGCGGATTGAACCAAAAGATCCCCATCCTAAACCAATTCCTAAAAGTACACTCTGTCGGGATCCTCTTACTACAAGAGACATGGTGGACACCAAACTTACCTTTCAACATCCCCAACTACATAACTACACGCTCCGACAGAATCACATCCCCTGGAGGCGGCACGGCCATCCTCACCGGATGCTCTATCCCACACACCCAGTACTCCCTCCCACAAACAATGCCCTTGAATGTACTGCCATTGCAATAGGAACAACCTCAACTCCCTTACTCATCATATCCAGCTACAAAAGACCCAGTATCCCCATTCCCACATCTGATCTCGACATCCAAAACAACCTTCCTTACCCATCATTCTTCAAGAGATCTAAACAGTAAATCAACAACCTGGGGCTGTGCGACTAGCAACACAAACGGACTTCGACTTGACAATTTCTTAACCCAAAACGCACACATCCACCTGAAAAGCCCCCCAGAACCAACACACATCCACAACGACCTTCCCCACGACATCCTCGATATTGTCATCCATTCCTCTCAACTTCAGATAATTATCCCTTACCCTAAATACGACCTCTTCAATGTCTCGGACCACCTCCCCATAGTATTTAACTACTCCAATCCCTAGTCGACCACTTCCTCCCTCCCAACCTCCCAATCCCACACAATGTTATCCTAAACTACCTGAAAAACCGCACACTAACACCAGAAAGATAACAAATATGGACGACCAATGATAGGGAAATACGACACATTATCAGGACAATAGACTGCACAAAGACCCCAGGACCCGACGGAGTCTTCCCATCCAAAATCAAACATTTAACCAAAAACGCAATAGACCTCTTTACCTTCATCCTAAACTCCTGTCTTAAACTGTCCTACTTCCCCCACCGCCCACGTAATCATGCTCCCCAAACCCGGTAAGGATCATCGGCTCCCGTCGAACTACCGCCCTATAAGTCTCCTCCCCACCTTTAACACAATTTTCGAGAAAATCCTACTCCTACGACTAACACCCACCCTAGACCCCATCATCAACATCTCACCATTTGGCTTCCAAGAGGGATGCTCCGCGGCTCTCCAAACCCTGAATCTCTCTATTGCAATAGCCACCCCGCTACAAGACCAAAAAGAAATCCCAACCATTTTCACCAACCTCACCCAAGCATATGACACAGTCTCCCATCAAACCCTCCTTATGAAAATCCGACCGTACGTGCCCAATCACTTCCACTCCTTACTTCAGAGCTATCTCAGTCACCGCTATTTCCATGTTCGCCACCTATCCAAATTCTCACCTGATCACCCGATCCAAGCCATCGTCCCACAAGGAGCTGTGCTATCCCCAATTCTATTTTCCATCTACATCAACGACATTCCACCCATCCTCACTCATCCCTTCCTTCCCACGAAAAAGAAACATCAAACCTACTACACCTGTATCTGCCCCATCATCTCGTACGCTCACCCGACCTGGACTACCACCTCCCAACAAAATCTTTCAAAAATCACCAGAATGGAAAATTACGCCCTCCGCCTCATAATCCGCCCACCCATGTGCACGCCCTTCAACCGAGATTCCAACACCAAATCCCTCACATCCTCACACACGTCCATCACTCGGCAATAGCTCAAATACAGATATTCGGTCACAATCCCAAATTCCGCCAACTAACCATTCCCCACCACCATATTCTTAGAAATCCGCCTCGTTTTACCCGCAAACAGCACCCACTTGACATCCTCCACCTTCCCCCTCCCATCACCTAAGCCAGAGAGCAATACAAAATTCATGACAGCGACATACAAGTAACTAACATTTGAAGACGACTCAGAAAATCGACAAACTTCAAGCCGACTAAAACAACCACGCAAAAACGCAAACTCACAATCAAAGACAAAAAGAAAGACGCACAGGCTACAACGACAAAGATCAAAGATTATATACCATAATTACAGAATCCACCCTTCGACAAAATAACCACAGCATCCTATCACTACACCCATCCGAAAAGCCCCCCCCCCCCAACCCATCCCAACCTAATCCCTTTCCTTCCCCCCCCCCACCGTCAACCCAACCCTCTAACAAAATAACCCATCCACCTCAATAAAACAACCCATCAACCCCGACTCCCAATCCCCATCTCCATACGGGGGAGAGGAGTCATAGCACACACAGCATGAACACTCAGCTATAACAACCTGGTCGAAGAGACCCCACAAGGGTCAAGCGAGCAAGACCACCAACCCCCGGAAGCAGGAAGGAAGTCGTAGTCGGAAGTAAGCAGCCGCAAATCAGCTAGTGCATGTAATCAGTCAAGTAGTAAACAGTCAGTCCGTCAGTATGTCTGAAGTGGAAGCTGAGCTGTAAAGTGTGCATTGCGGTGAACAGTGGTGCAGTGGGTGAAAGTAGTCAGCAGACTGAAGTCACCAGTGGAAGCTGAGCTGTGAAGTGTGCATCGCGGTAAACAGCAATGCAGTGGACCCTGGTCTGCGCAGGGAATTCTGAACGGCGCAATGCAGCAGACTGTGCGATAGTGTAGAAGAAGTGAACAGTGTAAATAAATAATCAAGAGAACGAAGTTGTGTGTAAGGAAAATAATCGCAAGATTAATCGAAGTGAAGAACACAAGGACTGTGCAAAATATTTGTAAATAGATCAAGTAGTTTTAGTGTACAATTGTTTTCTAATAAACGGTTTTGTAAAATAATACCGGTGAGTTTTATTTCACCATCAAGAAACGTTACAATATGATGGCCGAAACGTCAGCAACATAGCCTTCGACGAGGCGTCGCCAAGACAGCCAGACTCACATGACACTAAGTAAGCTTCAAGAAGTGAGGAAACATCCGAAGGATGAGATCACATTGGGTAGGTACGCATTCGCATGTCAGCAAATTATAAGAGAAAAAAATATTAACTTCTGGCAAAAAGGAGAGAGGTTGGTCAAAGAAGCGGGAAAGGACTCCTAAGTAGCACTCCGACCAAGAAAAACATCCCGTTCAATGGTAGACCAATAACAAGTTGGTATAAGCATTTCAACACCATTCTGAAGGAGGAAAATAAACCACCTAAGTACAATAACTGGCAACAAGAACCAGGGAAGAAATAGAAAAGGGAACCACTAAGAAAAGCTGCTGGTCCCGTAGGATACAAAACGAATAGATCCAAGAAATTGCTACAACTCTGTCACCAACATGGACCAAACTTCTAAACAAGTGTGTGGAAGTAGAACTATCCCCAAGAAGTGGAGGCCCTCGATCATCAAAGTCCTTTACAAAGGGAAAGGCGACCACAAGGACAAGAACAAGTATATAAGGGAATAGCTCTGGAAGGCAACCCCTTCAAAATACTAACCAAATTAATCATAGGCAGTACAAGTACTAGTAACTGGGGCACACAAACATTGTGTCACTTCATTTTCAATAACAAATAACTAATGCCCTGTCTTTGGACCTAAATCATTAACAATTAAAAAAGTTATATGAGCCACAAAAATACACAGAAACAAGTTATAGCATTATATATTACACATTCTCATTTCTGACAACTTTACAGTCTACTTCTCCATTTCAAACTTTATTTTGGTTGTCTTTTTCCTATGTAGTAATTAAGCTCATTCCATGAATCACTAATTTAGATCTCCTTAGAAAAGCAACAGGTAATCTTGATAAAAATTGAGCTAATCCCAGCTGGAAAACTGGTGTCATTGCGCTCACCAAGGAATTAATGCATAGACTTATCAAGTACAGATTTCCTAAAGGCAGCTCCACTCAGTCGTTATTAGGCGAGTAGTGAGCAACCGCACCCTGAATCCTGAGTAGTGTGTATAAGTTGCTTGCTACTTACCAAGAGACAAACATGTGGTGCTCGCTATACCCACTTTGTGTCAATCTTTAGGACACATTAAAGGGAGCGAACATTCACCAGAACATATCAGCTCTTCGGGATTGGGCGAACAATAGCTCGCTGCTTAGCAAATGCCAAATGCGTGGAGCTGCCTTAAGAAAATTAATGGCATTATCATGACAATCATGCTTGCCTCAGTAATCTGGCTTCCCAATAATATTGTACTGAGTCATGGGTGTTTTAGTTTAAACACTTAACACATTGAAACGCACTTGCCACGTACGTAATGTCACCGATGCAATAACACTAAATAAACCTACAAATATTTCATTACATACCAGGCAAAGTAGTAAGATGTGAAATTAATTTCTTTGCATCACTTTCACAATATTTTGCAAAACTATCTTGATTATACAAGGGGAATATTTGTTTGGGATTCACTGCACGGCTGCAACATCTGTTAAGAAGGTTGCCAAGAGAATCTGCTAGTTCCGAATTCAATATATTTTTCACTTTGGTTGCACTAAAATCTGTAAAAAAATATTAGTTCATTTTCAATGGCATATTTCACACACATTAATATGACAGAAGAAAAATAGTATAATCCTAGATTACATATGCTATTATTTCCATTAAGAGAAGGATATTTGGATTCTTGTTTTATTTTGACAAGATTATGAAAATTCTATCAATCTTCTTCAAATCTTCTGCAAAATTCTAAGAGACTATGGAGGCTGATTGACACATGCTAACTTTAAGTCATTCAATCTACACAAATAAAACAAGAATGCTTTTCATATGTTGGTATTTATTTCAAAAATAAATTAAATCACCATTTGAATTTGCTTTTCTTTAACTAAGAAACTTTTGTCTTCAACTTGTTGATCTACAATTCAAAGAAATTTGCTCATTCCTTCAGTTTTCAATGAGCATGTTTTAATAACCAAATTATGTACATAACATTAATAATTGCTTAATAAAGTCTGAGATGTGTCCATAAAAACTACTAATCAATAAACTAGAATTAAATTGATTGAGAATTTAAGAAGGAAATCTGTTCACATCATGTGACACAAAATATCAATTCTATTTTTATTTTTATCACACAGTCAAAAATGAATTTATAATGCTTATTTGCTACTTTTGTTATGATCAAACTTACTTGCATCACTATGAGGTGTGCCTTCTCGTAATAGAAAATAACGGAATCCATTGGATCCATAAGTTTGAAGCATGTCATTGGGATCAACTATGTTATTCTTTGACTTAGACATTTTCTCTTGATTAACTGTCCAGTGAGAATGACAAAATAATGTTCTTGGTGGATCCAGACCCGCAGCCATTAAAAACGCAGGCCAATAAATTCCATGAAACCTGCAAGTTAACCTTTCTGCTTTAAGATGAACATTCAGTCAGAAAGTACAGTAAGAATAATATTGTTCAAAGCCACATTTAGGAATATTGAAAATAGTGCCGTAACAAGCCTCTCCTCATACAAATGATTGTTCTGTGCGGAAGGGTCAACAGAGGTTTTTGTCATTCCTTGAGGGAATCTCTAAACTTTATTATAAGCGAAAGTCGACTATCAGGAAGACACATTAATTTCTTTCAGACCACTTAGCGTAACTTGAGGGAGGGCATAAAGAGACTCCCTCGACGTCCTCATTTGCTGCCGCCATGCTTTTTGAATGGTGTACCGCGTTCTCTACTTTAACCAGGAATTTACATAAAATATAAAATATTTTTAAGAGGCAACCAAGTAATTCTGGGCCACTTATAATGGAATGACTTTTAGAAGTTCTGATGCAATATATTCTACTTCCCTAGAGCTCTAAAATTCAGGGCAACTCTCAAAAAATCTGAAAACTCAGGATGGAGTTACATTGTGCAGTTTTAACTGTTGTGAGCACTAGTCTTTTGTTGCAACATTGTAGGCAGAAATGAGGAAGAAAATGAATCTGTTATTCAATGAATAGGTGTTACTTACTTAAGAATATCTTTCCCAATAACCTGAACATCAGGTGGCCAGAATCGCTGGAACTGATTGTCAGGGTAACCAACAACTGACAGATAATTCACCAATGCCTCCAACCAAACGTAAATTGTTTGGTCTGAATTATCTGGCACCGGAATACCCCAATGGACACGTTCTTTACTTCTTGATATTGATATGTCTTGCATTAAAGAATCATCCTGAATCCAAGACACAAGTTGTTTGTGGAATTTTAAGGGCTGCACAATGTGATCTGAAGTAGAACAGAGAATTCTTCATGTTAAGTTTCAATGCATAAATTATTCAGCATATACACACTAATGTAATTCTCAGCAGGTGAATTCAGCAATGATTCGACATTTAAAAAGCTACTGCAAACAACCATAAACAGTAAAACTCTTCTTTCGCTCTTCAGGGGACCAAGAAAAAATTGTGTAAATCATGGGAACGTGTAAATGGAGAAAAATTACTTTTGCTTATTCATTAAAAACCAGAAAATACATTCTCTGCCTATTAATAATATTAACTTTTAATGAGAAATCATTAGGTCTTGCACATCAAAGTACACTAATTCTACAACTATCTAATTTTTTTTCTAGAATACAACAATTTTATGATCAAATGAACATAACTTTTTTAAAACCTACTATAACATGTTTGTTTTTTGTGTATCAATAAAGAAAGTAAAAGTAGTAGCAACTACCAAGTAAACATGCTTGTGAGAGAAAGGAAAATAGCAAGGAAATAATCGCATTCACTATCTGTGATTCCTTCAACAAGATAATCATATGATAAAGAAAAGAAAAATCACAAGCCACTGCTGGAAGTAGCAGAAGGTGTTCTGCATTGTTACTAGTTGGGATAATAGTGAAATTGGAAATGAATTACGCCTTTACATAGTCGCACGTTATTGGCAATGGGTCAACAGTGCATGAAACCTGTCAAACTGAGAATTTAAAAACAAATTTAAAGCGAAAACAGTTAGCCCGGAGCATTAAGAACAATCCTTGTTTTTCCCTTATCAGAAACCGTCATGTATTTCAAGGGCTTAGAGGGAACAAATAAACACACAAGATTACTAGCCATCCTATGCTTCTTTGGATTTGTGCAATCAGGAGAATGTAAATGAAAAACATAGGAAATTTTCATTTTCAAAATGTAGAAGAGGGAACAATTTTATGCTCTGCACTTATGTGAAATAAAGGGGCTGATCAAAATCTCTTTAATGGTGAGAAAAAAATATTCCTGATATTAGATTATATTATTAATTATATATTAGATGAATGTAATGCAACCGTAGCTTCAAACAGTTTTGAAAATATTTTCATGAAAATGATGTTGAAAGTGAAGTTGAAAATGATTACTACGCTAGCTCTAAATAGAAAAAAAAATTTAACATAGTTAAACATAGAATACAGTTGCCTGGTTGTCTCCTCGAGCATAGCATGTGAAATGAGAATTAGATGTTCCTGTTCCCATAATTTTAAGGAGAAAATAAATGTTGGCAATTTTATTTATGAAACTTATTGTGCTCTTAAAAGTTAATATCTGCATTAGATATGACATTTGCTATTTACCTGAGTACAGGAGCATGTATTCCACAACATAAAAACAAAACAAAAGAAGAAAATCTGCACCCTTAACACTTATGGAAAGTATTTTGTAACATAAAATTTATAATATAACCTTACTACTCACCATCTTTCAACCAATAAAGAAGATCGTTTTGGAAGGAGCTTAGGCGAAACATGAAATTTTCTTCTTCTGTCCACTCAACAGAATGTCCTGTTTCCGCAGAAACTTTCTGTAGCTTGCCATCAGGTCCAGGTTTCTCTGTCAGTTGCCCTTCACTAAGGAAAGACTCTTCTGATATACAATACCATCCTGCATATTTACCTTGATAAATATGGCCTTTACTTTTTATGCAGTCCTGTACAGTACACAACATTAATGAGGATAATACAGTGAAACTCATGTATTTTGGAATTATACTGAAAATGTATTTGGTTAAAGATAAATAGGACGAGGTATTTTCTTCCACAAAATTACCCAAAAGTGATGTACTGCTTTCTTATGGCGCTCATCTGTTGTTCGTATGTAATCTGTGAAACCAACATTAAACTTTTCAAATGTGGTTCTGTAACATAATGACATTCCGTCACAATAATCTTTTAAAGTTTGCTTGTTCTTTTTGGCTGCATCTTGAATCTTCGTTCCATGCTCATCAGTACCGGTAGAAAAAATGGTGTGCCCATAACCGTCAAGTCGCTTCAATCTATGATATGCATCCGCAATTACGGCAGAATATAAGTGCCCTATATGGGGTGCTAAACGAAATAGGGAAAAAGTTGTACAAATTGAGAGTATCATTATTAAGTTCTATGTTTACTAAATTCAATTCTCACCGGCATTTACGTAAAATATTGGAGTAGTAATAAAACAGAAATTCCTTCCTCTCATTGTTCTCGAGTGTCGTTGATACACTCCCAAATTTCAGTTGTAAGTATGTGAAGTATCATAACTCAAAACTCGATAACTACTTTTCAACAGACCCGAAAATAGTTACGAGCAAATGTATACACTCACCGGTGCACACTGGGTGCACACTTTAACACTGCGCGCACATGGCCCACATGCCCCACATGTAACCAACCACTGCCAACCACCACCAACCACCACTGGGAGATACCAAAGAGTATATACAGCCTTGGATGCAGTATACTCTTTGGATATCGCCGCGCAGTTCCAATCTGAGTATGCTTGAAAAATGCACCGTGATTGGCCACCGTATTTCTCTGTACTCTTTGGCGGTTGTTTACTTACTCGGCCAGCGACCAGCGCAGAATTCAATCAGCGACGATAAGCGATGGACTACAATTGATCTCGATAGATGCCTACAAAAGGTGGTAATGTTTCTATAATTAGTCCCTAGAGACCAGTGTAATGTATCTAAAGGCATCGTTGATTGGTCAGTGCTCGACGAAGAAACCCTGAGTGACCATCAGTACATAGGATATTCGCCTCTATTAATGGAGGGGAAACGAATTAATGGAGGGGCCGCAACGTGTCAAAACGCGATATAAAGGAAGACCACCTTGGAATTACAAAAAAGTAAATGAAGACCAGGCAAAACGCTCCTTGGAAGAATCCAGGTTGCTAATTAACATGGGTTGGACGAAAGAGGCGGAAAAGCTCGAGGATATGGTCAAGGCAACAGAGAAAATAGTGGTAGCAGCTTGCGACGCATCCATGCCTAGACGTATATGTCCGAGGAGGAAACAGCAAATGTCTAGGTGGACACCAGAAATAGCTGAACTATGAAGGAACTATATCAAGGCAAGAAGAATAGCGGCAAGGGCCAAGACGAATCTGCACCTCAGGGAACAGTATAAAGAACTGTCCAAACTTCTTAAGAGAGAAATAAAAAGAAGTAAAGGCAGATGCTGGAAAGAGCTCTTAGAACAGATAGATAACGACCCATGGGGCATGGCTCATAAAATAGTAAATAAGAAATTCGGGATGGATTGGAAGATACCTGGTTTGAATGATCCACAATGGATTAGGGACCTCTTTCCCACTAGAGATTTCTGGACGAGACAAAGAGCGACTTCACGGTTGACGCAGCAGACTACTTCACGATAGACGAACTGAGGAGAGCGGCAAAAGGCATGAAAACTGGAAAGGCCCCAGGTTTCGATGGAATTCCCTGTGACATACTAAAAATAATGCACAGGAGTATTCGGAATGCCTTTTGTCAATCTATAACTGCTACCTTGAGGATGGGAAATACTTCAAGACGTGGAAGAGACACAAGCTGATACTCCTCCGAAAAGGCAACAAGCTGGTATATCAGACTTCATCAAACAGACCATTGTGCCTCCTTGATACCATGGGCAAACTGCTTGAGGGTTAAACACTTTCTAGACTTGAGGGGCTCATATGTTTTTCCCACCGGCAATATGGCCTGGAGGGATTCCGGAGAGGCCGCTCGACGACAGATGCCATCCTGAAAGTAATTGATAAAGCAAACGCAGCCAGAAGAGGAGTCGGCAAAAATAAAGGATTTTGCGCTCACGTGGCAATTGACATTACAAACTTCAACTCCGCTTGGTGGAAGGACATTATAGAAGTGTTAGTTAACAAGATGATTCCGGAATATCTCATAAGGATTATTGAAGACTACCTCCATGAAAGAACGATAACTTATGTGGACAGTATCAGGATAGAAGAGAATGTGACGTGCGGTGTTCCTCAGGGGTCCAGACTTCAGGTCCAGGGGGCCATTTTTATGGAATGTCCTGTATGATGACATTCTAAGCATTGACTTGCCGAAAAATACGCAGCTCATAGGCTACGCTATTAATAAGCCACAGCGACCTGCGCTTTTGATCATCATCATCATCATGAACTCTATGTTTTTAGGTATGACCTTGTTCCTGTTTGTGCTGGTTCAGTAAACCTAGTAGATTTATCTTTTAGATGTTCCGGGGCTTTTAATATCATTTTTTTAAAAGTGAAAATAGCTTTCTTCCTCAGACTTCAGACATTTTTTCAACCTATGCTACAGAGCAGGGGTAATCTGAAAAAGTAAACCTTCAAAAATACTGCAGAAGATTGCAAAAGGTCTCTTTGTGAAGACTTGGCTATAAGAAACAATTCAACAAACCAGGTTTTAAAGGTCTAGAATACATGAATATGTGAATAATAATCCAATAATATCTAATAATACTAATTATGTTTGTTTTAAATCTGTTTGATTCACCCTTGAGGTGCTAATATCCTATTAAACATTAGCACATCTTTGGGATTTTGTGATGGTGTAAATAGTGTTAATGAAAAATTAGTATATTTCCTTAGCTTATTATATTTAGAGTGGATGAAAAAAGTTATTGTTGCAAAACACAACACTAGACATCAAACGGGCGGATAATTTTAACGGGCGGAGTACTTTAACTCACAAATATAATAGTGTCTACAAATTGCTCGAAATGTGCATATTAACGGCGTGAAAGATATTTCAAAAAAATTAAATTTGTGTTATTATTGAAAAAGCAAAAAACTATCCCAAAGTGAACTGTAATTAGTACTATCTGTTCAAAATATTTGAAAATTAAATTTGGGTCCGTTCTCGAGAAAATGGCATTTGAGCGTTTCAGGAAATGCGGAATTTTGAGTTCCTTTTCACAAAAAACCGTTGAGTTTTCGAGAAACTTTATAGGACATTATTTAAAGCACTTGTGCCCATAAATATAATAATGTGAACAAATTTTCGATAATATAAATATTAACAATGTGAGAGACAAGTCAAAAAAATAATTTTTGAAAAACCAAAAGAATAAAGCAAAATGGAATTTGTCATGTTATAGAGTACTTTTAGCTCCATTCCTTCCAAAACTTAAAAGAAAAATATTGGAGCTGTTTTTGAGATTTTGTTTTTGTGATTTTTTTTTAAATTGCACATATTGCTTGCAATACTGCGCAAAAACCACTACATTTTCAAAAAAATATACATGAGCTTAAAGAAAGAACTCACTATGGAGAACAAATTTTATTTTAAGGAAAAATCTGTCTTCAATTTTAAAGTTGTAGATACCTGAAAAAATTCAAAATTTTGAAATTTTCGAAAATTTAGAGTTAACCATGAAAATAGGACCTATGCCATTTTTATAAGTGTATTATACTCAATTTTTGCAAAAAATTTAAAGAAAACATTAGGAGCCATTTTTGAGTAAATTTTGAAAATGTCCAGGGGGCTCAAATTTCTGTAGATTCTGAAGAGAGTTTTTCAAAATCGTGGTGCCTTGAGTGGAGTCAGATCAGGTGGTGAATATCCATTTTGGAAAAAACCTATTTTTGGTTTAGGCGCTTGTGGTGTTCACAGATGGATGGATGGGCGATTTGAAAAAAAATAACAAAAAACACTTTTTTGGTGTCAGGGAACCCCAAAACATATACTTCTAGGTATATTACTTTGTATATACGTAGGTATACAGGAGAGGAAAACTACTTGATCCTAAAGAGTTATTGCAAAACATTTTGTGAATTTCACATGAAAAAAAATGAAATGGGAAAGAATAATCTTCAATTTTAGAAGTGTATTAATAATCATCATCATCATGAAAAACTACTAGTTTCTAGAGAGTTATTGCAATAGATTTTATGAAGTTCACATGAAAATAAATAAAAAGGAAAAGAAAATTGTTCAATTCTAAAAGAGTATTAATGTAATAGTATTTTAAATTAATAAAGTAGTCAGCTTTGTGTTAAATGAGGCATTGTGCCCTAGCACATAGTTGTGAGAAACACTGAACAACTTTTGGGTGTTGTATTGTGCATTCCCAGTATACCATCTATTATTCCTGAACCTAAATTCCTAATTTCCATTACTATCCTGGCAAATTATTGCAAGGGGATAGAACGTGTGTAATATATGCAGCACAGTGATCCCTAGGGGCCACTTCGGTCAGGGGCCATCTAGGAATAACCTGGCTTCCTGTCTCTATTAATTCAGTCCAAGCGCCAACAGGTTCACAAGCCACTTTAGTTCCAGAAAAGTGTGAATTTAGATCAGCATGGGTTTATGAATTATTAGAGTGTAAAGTTTGGGGAATCTAGATAAAGTTATCAAGTGCTTGTGTGTAGTAGGAGAGTAGGAATTGGGGTGTACATATAACCTATTTATAGGCTAAATCATATTATTTGTCTTGTGAAGCAACAAGTAGTGAAAATTATGTGGCAAGCTTACGATAATACAAATAGTTTGATTTCATTTGATTTATTTGTCTAAGAACAGTTAAAACTGAATACTGAACTGAAGTACAGGGGTGAAGTACAATCTGTGGATATTTTCTTGAGAGCTAGAATCTCTTCCCTACCTTTTAACCACTTTGAGCTAAAATCTTAATGTCTTATATGCCAATGACTTTAGAACATGATCCCCTTGAAATAATTAAATCCATTTGACTTATCTATCTTTTCAATTGTCTCTGCTGATATTCTTGCAATTGTAAGTAGCATCTTCCTCTCAGAAAAATTATTTTTTTTACCTCATCAGTCATCATTGTAAATTCTGCAAAACTAGACCAAAGATGTAAAATGAACAATACTTTAAACTTTTATGTGCATCTGGTATTACTTCATATAAATTGTAGGTGCTATACTATGCATATTTTGAACTCAATACCTAGTTTAAAGAGACTGTCACTAAAGTGAAAATCATAGAGTAGTAGGCCAAATTAAAGAAATTTTTTATATTTCTAGTTTATGGTTGTTTCGACTCAAAAAAATATTTCTCCCTAAAGTGATATATTTTATAAAATATAAATTACTATCATAATTTACTTTCATAAAAACTTCAAACTAATGATTACTAAAGCAAAGGTTGATTTTTCTTGGAGGTACATCTTTTATTAAACTTCTACAAATGTAGAATACTTACTTTGAATTAAAACTAGTAATTCAGCACAACCCACAACTTGGCAACTTGGCATGAGATTGATGGTGCCCTTCTAGTCTTTGATGCAACCAATAGGCTTGCATTGGCATTTACTAGTTTGTTCCCATTTGTTGTGTAAGTCACATTGTGTCTTTATACCTTGTTCTGTTTATACCTGTAATATGTTTTGGTTTTCTACTCAGTGGTGCAATGTTCCTAAGGCTCGAATCCCTACTTCCAGTTTATTCAACAACTTAGATAACTTTCCTTGAC